CCCGTCTGAGGAGAAACCCATAGTTCTTGGATCTGAAACAATATTACCGTGAATACCTTAATTTGCTGCTGTACAATAATAAAGGGTATTAATTTTACGTACCATCAGATTCATCAACTTTCCTCAACATGGTTCTCAATTGTTTTATATTACCAGCCTCTTTCACGGCGAGCACAGCAAGTCTCAAACTATAAAAGTCACTATCGCGAAAGCCACAAAGGACCATGATAGTAATGATATCACATTCCACATCGTGATACTTCTTCCATTCGATATCCCTGCACTGTTCTGAGCAATACAACGTATAAGAGCAATTTTTGCAGGGTATAGTAGCCCAACATATTTTCACGCAATTTGAACAGTGTGTCAGTCTCATCTGTTGTGTCAACAGCAATGAATAAGGCTTTTCTACGACAAGTACTTCCCCTGCATCAATGTTACGAGCAGCGACAACATGTCTACCATATTGCTTGTCATATTTCAAGACTACAGCATCTGATGCACAAGGAATTTCAATATTACAGGACTTGATAACAGGCAGTGGAATTTCAGATTCTTCTGATCTCACAGGACTGCATTGAATATTTCCCTGCTCGATCTTCCAGCGCAATCCATCCAATTTGTCTTCTATTTTTGATTTATTGGGAGACAGGGTCATCTCACTTATCCAATGTTCTGTTTTCTTAATCATACCTCCCATAGTTGGTTTGCCCAGTGCGATTAGACATTGCGTTTTGCGTATGAAGAGTTTCCCTTTCAGATCATCGGGATAATTTAAGGCCAATGCTCTGTCAATATCTTGTATGCATTCTGAATATAAACCCAATATATATAAAACAACAGACCTATTGGCATAAGCGAGAGCAAGTTCCAAGGATGGATAAGGTGCCATGGATATGCTCTTTGTATACAAATTCAAAGCCGTAATGCATGAAACATTGTTTGAATTACGAGTGACATAAATATTATTGCCTTCTTTCCGCAATCTCTCAGAATCTTTGGCATTCTTTGTTTTATTAATTGCATACGGTATCAAACCATTCTCCCACATAATATTAAGAGTAAATATCACACGCTCCTGATCAGTCTTGAGTTTTTGAAAGCTGTTCATAACATCAAAATATTTGTCTGCCTTGAAAAGTGCAAACATTAACTTATCGTAATGGTATGTCATTTTTTCTCTTCAAGATATATTGCCAATACTTGTAAGCAGATCTAGAAATAAAAAAAGAAGTGTTTCTCTGAAAAAGGTAAATTACAAAGCACAACACGTTGCAAAATGTTATAAGTTGTTAGTTAACATCGTTCAAAATATCCCAAATAGATGAGAAAGGATTCAACACTAAATGAAATACCTTCATCACATAAATATCTTTTCTTTTTTCAATATTTCTAAGGATTTCCTACCGTAATGTGAATATACATACGATCTATAAACTATTAGCAACATGTCTCCACGTCGGTATGGCGATATCGTAAACGTATATAAGTAAACGCGTGATTTATGTGACATTCTCTCTTTTTTCTAAGTTGATAAAGTGCTGAACAATCCAATTTTTAGGATCAAACGAAAACTTGTGTCTTCTCATCTCTGTGACACTTCCTGTTTCACCGATATAACCAAGCGTTCATTTTTCGGAATGAAAGGCTCATCAGGTCGAATTACTAATGATATATCGGATTACGTTACTTCTTTCGCTACTGTCTATCTTACGAGAGATTCGCCGTAAAGTTACGGTGGGATATTCTTGGACGGTTTAATGAAGAACACTCGAGAATCTAGTGATTATTTTCACCGATTTGGTAGCACTTGAAAACTTGTGACGCGGCCAAATTGATTTTAAAGTATCAAGTTTGAATTGAATTCAAACATGTAATTTAACACACTTTATGTATTAACGAAAATAACAATAAAATATTATTTGGTATATATATTATTCGGTTATAAATTTAACAGATGTTATAGTAATTAAAATAACAATAAAATTATTTGGCAATAAAGGGAGGATTTTGAGAAATTTAAGTTTAAGAAGGACAAAGAGTTCTTGTTATTTGAAGATATTTTGCAAAATGTATAAGTTTAAAATGTATTAACACGTCGTCACGTTACCTTGAACAAGTTTATTTTTGCATCTTGCTGCTTCGGCTTCTTTGTCGGTAGTGTCTCTCAATCGTGACAGTTTCTGCACTCGCAATTATATCTCCAAGTTTTGCAACTAAATGTACGTGTCTGTAAATTATTACGTCAAATGTAACGTATATTCATGAAGACTTCTAACATTGTGGGCAGCTTAACTGATGACGATGACGAAAAATGGAAGCGAAAAAATGCATGCTTTGAATTCTTGTATAATACGTTTAAGTAAAAAAAAAAATATGTGTATAAAATGACACTTGTGGTAAATTAAACAAATTTAAAAACTTCTCTAAGTATACGGACGAAACTAAAAAGTTCGATTTAATTTTCCGCTCTCTTGTTCGGGAAACCAACCATCTCTTACGAATCAAATAAACGAATACCTTCAACAACTGATTCACCTTGTGCACTTTCTGTATCTAACTTGCTTCTTATATCGTATTCCTTAACTGCACTCTAGAACTTGCACGTAAGAATACCTCTAGCCTACGAACGCCTCTAAGACTTATGAACACCTTATATACAAGTATTATTTGGAACGTTCGTTTATCGGCGATAAAACATTAATCTTTGTGCTATTCTTTGTGTTAGTCTTTTGTGATAATCTAACATATCCTAGGGTTGATATGAGTGAGATAGGAGTCGCACGTATTGTAATTTCATATCATCGACCTTGTATTCTCCGGTCTTCATTTCCTGATTTAGCGTTCCGACATCCAGGTGCTAAATCGTGGCTGGATACTCACTTACTGACATCAATACTGGCATTCGCGTAGATGAGACTCGTGTCAGGAGACTCGTCAGAGGACCTCGTGTTAATTAACGTGATGCCAACAAGAACCTGGTTGAATATTGCAAGAATCGACGATATATTTTAATCGTATAGATACTTTGCAAGAATTGTAACGCATGGAAATTAATGTTGCGAGGCGATCTTTGCGGAAAAAATCCACAAAATTGAAAAATTCCGAATATTTTTTAATATTTCTTCCGAATATACTTCCAGTTCGAAATTTCTGATTAAATCTCAAATATTTTTACAAGATTTGAAATTAATCAATTATGATATACGGTGAAAATATCATTTTTCCCTAGGTACATACTTCACGAATTCACAATTGTATCTGTAAAGAGATAGCATATTGTTGAGCCAAACTATAATTAATAAATTTTTAAATCCATTCTTAAAAAGGGCACACGTGTAATCTTATCAAACTGCTGTTATAATGTTATCTTCGACTTTGTTACTTGGAAAATTGTCGCGATTAGGACGAATGTTTAAACGTCGTTTCTATCTTGTCTAATTAATTTTCTTTAACCCTTTCACTACGCCGTATATTTCCGTTGCTTTTCATTTGTATATGAAGACTATGCACTGTGCACCACGGCGACGCAGCGGCCGCTAAGTCTCTCAATAGAAATATTTAACTGTATTTACAAAATCAAAATTATCCGTTTATTATTTCTCATTTTGAGAATATTACTTCCTTTTTGTTCAGTTATTAATGTTTTCATTATGACGATTAATATATGTGTTAAGAAATGTAATGCTATCAGATATACACAAGAATGCAGAAACTTGGGCGTAAAAGTGCGTTAGTTCTGCGCACTTCGATATTTCTCAGGAAGAAACCAATGCCCCGGTGAATCTATCGAGTCACAGAATTTCCATAATAATTATCATCTTGAACGAACGTCACGGTGGTGCTGCATTGAATGAGAAGGACGCGTGTCCGTGTACGAACTGTTTCGCGCCGACTCGGTACCGACACGGCAATTAGAATTATGTACGTTTACGTCGTCAAGGTAACGCATCGACTACCTTGCTTGTTGCAACATACGTGTATCCACGTGCATGTATAATTGGCGTACGTCAAGCGATCCATTCGACGACGAAGATGTCTTCGCACTCGACACCTATTTTGTACCTGAACATGGGCGGTGAGATGTTGTACGTTCTACGCCAGAGGCTGAAGGCGCAGCGGATCGACGTCGGCAAAACGATACAAGGCGAGGCGACGCGTCCCGTTCGACTAGATTTTCTCAAAAGCGTCTGACAAACTATTTTCTTCAGACTACTATAACGTCTCCACTTGATAACATTCGATTGCAGTACTGGACGACGTGACTGCGGCTCTGCTCAATCCCAAGATCCTGTCGTCGATCTTCGAGGAGACGCCGATGATTGGGGTGCCGCAGTTGCGCTCCACCTTGGAGCGCGTCGCTCTCTCGTCCATCATGAAGCTCGACAAGAGCAGCATGGACAAGCTCTTCGACCTGATGATCATGATGGTGAAGTACCAGTTAACGGCGGCGACCGGGCCCAGGGAGGTCATCCTCATCACGTTGAATCACATAGACGCGATGCGCGACATGGTAAGCGACGTGAACGCGCAAAAGTGCGTCACCCTGGTGCATCAGATGATCGTTGACGTGAGTACGCACGGCCGGCTCGACGGCAGTCGTGGTGTGCCAGGCGAGGTATTCACCGAGTGCAATTTCTCTGACGTGCAGTTCTACGGCTGTGTGACCTTCGATGAGGTCTGGAGCGCGCGGCAGAGCTGCCTGAAGGAGCTGGAGCTGTACAGCGTACGGGTTTCGATCCTTCTACGCCGCGGTCTGCAGAACGAAGACGCCAGTTTCAACGTGATACCGCACAAGTACGACGAGAAGTACGCGGAGCGCAGAAACGGCCTGGCCACCATGAGGCTGAAGGACGTGAGCCCGGAAACGTGCTGCGGCGGGTCCTTCGGCACCTTCGGCGATAGAAAGACGTTGTTGGGCAAGAACATGTGAGAGACAAGGATAGCAAGTGTTTGCGTGCCATTAAGACCTGCTTTTCCATTTTCTGCTTGTGGTTTAAACTTAAGTCGACGATAACGCACAAATTGTTTTTCCATTCTTAATTGATCATTAAACTGACAGTTTCGTGGAGATTTTTTAAATTTAACCGATCACCCGTGAATAGAAAAATATAAATTTGTACGTTATCATCAACATAAACCGCAGCCGGGAAATGAGAAACCGGGCCTAAGATCAGGTCGATCGCTTACCTGGTTATTTGCAGATACCTGCCGACGTATGGCATAACGGACAACACGAATTCACGGCGGGACAACCAGCAATTCCTGAGAGACTGCGGCGCGAAAGCAGAACTGGGTATGCTGGCGGTTCAGTTGGGCACCGAGGAGACCAACTACGAGAGGCCGTTCACCCTCAACTTGCTGTCGAACGAGGACGAAGAGAACGCTAACAATGAAGTCGACGCCGAGGGGAATAGTGTGAAGCGGGCTGACTCAAAGCCGAAGGTGAACGAGGATTACAGAGCCAAGCTAGACATGTACGCGGACTTGTTCGAGGACGAGCAAGAGGGACTGAAACGCAGCATGGGTCTCCTCGAGCTTCTCGACAAGGTCGAGTGATCTTTTTAGGATCTTCAAGAAGGGCCTAACGTCGGGAACACAACGAATCGCAATTATTTCTCCTGTATTTCTCCTGCATATTTGTACACCCGTGATACCCCTACAAATAAACATATTACATTTCCATTACAAAATTACCGCTGCTATCTTACAAGACGCACTTCTCACTGCAGTTTCGTCGAAATCACGTAAAATTGTACAAACTTATTTTACATATCACCGGAGATACGCACGAAATGCTACTAAATGCAAATATATTGCCGAACCCAAGCTGTCTAGAAGAATAAAACGATATCCGGAGAATGGAAAAGAAAATTCACATGTAACTGTGCACCGTTTTAAAACTTCGTCATGTCCAAAATGTACTTCAGGCCGGTGCGACCACCGAAATTGACCGCGCAGGAGATAGCTTCTTGGTACTCGTCGAAAGGCACTAGTTTGTACGCCGGTGTCTGCAGTTTCTTCTCCTTAAAGTAATTCGCCAATTCGTCGAACATAACAGTCCTCTCTTCGGACTCCATATTCGCCTTCGTCCAGGCTGTCATCCAAAATCCTCGGAAGGAGAGGTCCTGTTGGTATGAAAGTCGTGATTTTTACTGTTATGTTCTTCCAAATCTCACAAATATAAATAGTTGTTTTGATCACCTTAAAGATAAGAGAAGCCACAGGGATGGTCATTGGTTCTCTGGACATGCCGCCATAAGTCACCATGACGCCACTGTGAGCGAGATGACGCGAGACGTCAAGCGCATTTTGTCCGGCGATACAATTTAAAGCCAACTTTGGTGCGGGTAACTTCCCACTTTTGAACAGCTGGGTCGTTCGAAGTTCCCCCTCGGTCAGAATTTCATCCGCACCTAAGGCTGTCAGTTGGGCCTATATAATGGATATTAAATATACATATTATCTCAGATATCCAGCACCATTGTAACAATAGTATGTACTGAAATCAATGTCATACTTTTAATTCCTGTATTTCTGGCCTGTTTCGAACAATATTGACCGACTTATAATTCCACAATTTGCACAACTGAATGACCAGCTGACCAACCGCAGAATTGCCACCATTTTGTATCACAGTGTCTCCAGGCTTCAGAGGAACAAAATCTTTCAACATTCGGTAAGCTGTGCATGGATTTACGTTCAGCATACTGGCTTCGATCAAGCTCAGATGACTCGGGACCTATAAAACGTAGACAGGAGTGAGACATATATGAAATATGATATGTTAAGAAATAATTGAGCTATGATGTATCTACTTTCGAGACATCTTTGAAGTTATAATTAGCTTGTGTTCTCCATGTTCCCAAATTGGGTCCATTTGGCACTATCCTGTCTCCGACGCACAAATTCTTCACATCAGAGCCTACGGCTACTACTTCTCCAACACCTTCATTTCCCGGTACAGCTGGTAACGGTGGTCTACTGGGGTATTTCCCTTGTAACGTGTTAATATCGGCTGGATTTATTGGCGATAGTAACCATTTCACAGACACCTACATCGATGAGAAACGAAGTTTAGTTATATAATGTATGATTGAGGTGAGTCGAGCAGAAACAGATAAGCGTTAAGTGCAATTTGCACAGTTGCAGTAATGAAACATTATGTGGAACAATATAAATTAATCATATTTACTTCATCGCTCGCTGGTCGGTCGATTGTTTGTGTTGTCACTTCCAGAATGCTGACAGGATCGCCATAATCCTTGTACATCAGAGATTTCACGCAGTCAGTGGCCATTGTTGCGCTCAATTGCCGAGTATTCGTCAACGTAATCTTTGCGAACCATGATAACGGCACAATTAATTGCTTCGTGAACGTAACCATATCGTTGACACACGATTCGATACTTTGATAATACCGGGCGACCCCTCTACCACGTTCTCTAGACTGTAGAGACATCTGTGTTCTCGATATTTCGAAATCTATCGAGCCTCTGTTCGACGTTAATCGAGTTATCGATTTTATTTTTCAAACAGTTTTTCAAAAACGTCTGAACGACAGGTCGGAGATTTTATATTGGTCAAGTAGTTCAACGAAGCAAATGAAAAATCAGGTGACTTTTTAATTCTTATTAATTAATTTTCTCTGTTTCCACAGTAGTAGTGTTCGAGACGTCACGGTCAAAAAAACCTTTTTATTTTCAAATAGTACAATTCAACTAATAATAAGCAGAGTAATTTCAATGGATCTTTGTTTAATTAGTCGGATTACTGAGTACTATATTACTGAGTAATATTAGTGACATGAAATGCGGTATAAAAAAGTGATATAGAAATAGTGTGTCTTATATAAAGTATAGAACGGACATTTAATTTTACGACCTGTGTTTTAAATAGTTTGCACAGTTTCGAGAAGCTCGCGTTTCATCCATGAAACTGCGAAACGCACACACCGAACATAATTTTCGGGTCATAAAATTAAGAGTGCCCTTTACTCTGTATATATTAGTACAATATCTTTACAGAACCGCCTAGTCGTCGCTTTAAAAATATTCGCTTTTCGAAAATCTCTTATATAATACATTTGTTATCACAGTATTATAAACTTTAGCATTTATACATATTAAACATTCTTTTGGACGTGATAAAGCGCGTATCCTACAGATCTAAAACAATACTTATTGCTTGGTTACATGTTATGTACAGTACCATGCAAAATCAATCAAGTTACTAATGAGGAAATATAATAAATAAAAACTATCCTCGATCTTTGTGCATTTAATACAATAAATTCCGCTTATAACTAAGATTATGTCCGAGGAACTAGAATGTAATGATATAACTTTTCTTAGTTTTACGATTGACATAATATCTTCTCTTTTCACAGATTAAGAATGTATCAAACATTTTCGTGTCTATCCGTACATTTTGTTATAAAGTGGTCGATGTGACGGCGCTAACACCGTGCACGAGAACAATCGGCGGCAAATCTGCGGTTAATTCAGTCAACGACTGCAAATACTGTCGATACATGTCGACCTGGTCCCAAGTGGTCGAGATTGGTGGCGCGGGCAAATAAATAAATGTCGTCGCGGTCTGAGCAGAATATTGCCTAATCAGTTGATTGACGCTGAAACACAAAGTGTAAATTAGAAGATGCGAACAATTATAATTGAAGTAGTAATATCCTGTATTAGCGATATTATCCGTTTGATAATTAAAATTCTCAAATATTTAAAAGTAAATATATAAAATATCTGAAATATAACCCAATCTTGTTATTCGAGGGTTAAATCAATATTTTATTGAAATCGATATATTATTATTCCGAAATCAATATATTATTATTCGACATTCAATATTTCTCAAAATAAATTAAGATAGCTCAAATATCAATAATGCGATAAAGAATAACATTGCAGCTGACGCTCACCCCAATATATAAGCCCGTGATACGTTGCTCAAGGCGTTATCGTTGGACTCTGTACCCCCGTCAAAGTGATTCTCCGTTTTCGGCTCCAGCAAGGACCTGCCCTTCAATGCTCGGATCTGCTCCCCCCATTCCGGGATTTTCTTGATCGACGCGGAGATTCGCAGCAGGTTCAGCGACTTTCGTATTCTGTGTTCGTTCGAGACCCTCGGGAACTCGTTCATCGAGTTTTCCGAGATGCCGAGATTCCTGTTGTCGTCCGAGCTCTCGCAGTGGAACACTCTGAGATGCAGATTCTTCCAGCCGGGCACCATGTTGATGATGCAGGCGAGCTGGAGCATGAACAACGACGTCGTGTCGAACGGATCCTGATCGGTCGGTTGGAAGAAATTCACCGGCCACACGTCGATGAACTTCAAGTTCGAATTCCTGCAAGAGAACGTATGTAGTTGCGGTATGAGCGATACTGTGTGAACATAGCATGTAGAAAAATGTAAGGAAATTAACCAACCAATCGGTATACTTCTTTAGATTTATGTACTCCAAAAGGAAATAAAAGTGACATGTGAATTATCGTCACATCATCTTGCGGAATACGTAAGCCTAAAGAAATATACCGATTGGTTGGTCAATTTCCTTACTGTTTAAGTCCTGCGTTTTTCTACGTGTCATTTGCTTATCCGACAATAAACTCTCTCGCTTACTTCGTTAACTGCGCTTTATTCATCAGATGGAAGTTCCTGCATAGGCAGAGGTTCTTCTTCATTCTCAGAACGTCCGAGCACATACCGACGTACTGCACCGGATCCAGGTGTTTCTCGCTCGTGGTCTGCCTCAGCGGAAACACAGTGCTGTTCGGAAGCGTCGAGCTGTTCTCGAACACCGACGTCGCATACTGAGAATCCAAGAAGAAGTCTCGAGGCGACTCCTCGTCGTAGAAACCGAGGACGATGGTATTCGGCTTCATCGCGCCCATTCCGGACAGCCTTATCAGATGCTGTAGGCCTTCGCGCACCGTTTTCGTCACGGTTAGCTCGACGAAAGCCTTGACCTTCATGTGATCGACCAGACTGAGCCAATGTGGGTACTCCTCCATGGTAGGATCGCTACTCTGGCCGAAAAAGTCGCCGACCTTCACGTGCCCGATAACGTAGAGGCCTCCTTTCTTCAGATCGTTTACAAAGTCAATGAGGGGACAAGCGGAGCGCGGGGATGCGACCATCAGCAGCATCTGCGGGCGCCAGAACTTCACGTGGTCCTTGCGCGAATCCAACATCAGCAGGTACTTCCTCACTTGGTGAAATATCAACGCCTGGGATATACTGCCCCACGGCGCGTTCTTGCTCGGGGAGAACAGATGCAGCACGATGATCAAGATCAAGCACAATATTATGCTACTAGAAGCGTAAATACTGTTGATTATGAACATCATTATCAGCGTGCCGAGCAGGCCTATGGTCGCCGTATACCAGGTGAAGTAATTAAACGTAGGTCTGGAAACAAGAATGAGAAGACACTTATTGTATAATGTATAATCATTAATTAAGTAATTAAAATGATAGCGATTCTCTATTTTGGTAAAATACCTGAAGTTCGGCGCACTAGCGAGCTCCAGTCCGAGACACGCGAGATTGGTCGCGAGGTAACTCAACAGAAACAATACCGAATTAATCTGAGCGATAGTGTTCAACGAGCCGATGAGTAAAATCGTCTGAACTAAAGCCCACGAGGTAAGCACCGCCGCTATTGGGTTACCGCGCCACGTACCTTGTATTATAAAATTTAATCCCGAACCTACGCGAGAAATAGAGCAAAGATATAGTAAAGATCAAAGGTTAAATAATTGAACCACTAAGATATAAACTAATTGCTGGTAATTTTGCGCGGTCGAATGAAAAATCGTCAGTCAAAAATTCGAATTTCATCTTTGTCAATTACTTACCGAATACGTTGTCCTTGGCCAGTGCTTCCAATACTCTGCTGGAGCCTATCAGATTGCTCAAACCAGCGCTGAACGTCGCCGTGAGAATGCCGACAGCGACGAACGGTGGCCAAATGTTAATCGGCATCATGTATATGAAGTTATTTTGCAATAAAAACCGACTGGTAGTGGCAGCCGTCAATACAGACAGCAGGATGTAGCATATGAATGTGAACAATACCGCTGACAACGTTCCACGTGGAATATTCCGGCCAGGATTCTTCAGTTCACCTATTAATTGTTTCACATTGTACATTGAATATAAAGAAACAAATTTTCACATGTATAGTGATTGACGCTGTCTCCCGGGCGCAATGATATCGGAAATTTCAAATTAGGCGTATCACTTCTGAATATTCGTGCGTCAGGATTGCTGACTATTCTGCGAATTGGCAAGGATGCTTCGGAGCAGCAGTCGTGATGCACGAATATTCAGAAATGATGCGTCTAATTTAAAATTTCCAAAATTACTATGTCTAAGGAATGGGACTTTATTAATATATAGTAGTATACTTTTATATCTCTTATATATCACCTTATACATAGCATTCGTATATATAACAACTATATATATAAATAAACAAATAAATAAATAAATAAATAAATAAATAAATATATATATATATATATATATATATATATA